TTCCTCCTCCTCCTCCCCCTCCTCCTCCTTTGGCCTCGTCCTCGTTCCTCATCCTCCTCCTTATCCTCCTCATCCTCCTCCTCCCTCTCCTCCTCATCCCCCTCGGACTCACGGTTTCACGGTTGTGTCTGAAGGCCAAACAGTGCTCGGCGACTGACCAAAATGATGGGGAGGGAAACCTAAGGAAGCACCAAAGAGGAGACGGAGGGCCGAGAGAAGGGAGGAAGAGAGGTACAAAGGAGGCAGGTGCTCCCGAAACCCATTGAAAACCCCAGGGAGCCAGCGCCCACCCGCGGACCTTGGCCGTAGGCGGCTGGATTCCCCGTGCCTCGACGCATCCATCGAGGCCCGACAGGGCGACTGGCGAGAGCGGGTGCCGTCTCGGCGCGTCGTCGCCGTCGTCGTTGTCCTCCCGATCCCTCTCGTCCCCGCCCCCTACTCCCACCCCTTCGAGCAGGCTGGCCAGGCCAGTGCCTGGCTCAAGGGGCTACACCTTATGGCTGGCCAGGCCGCTGCCTGGCGCAGGCTCCCCTTCGTGGCTGGCCAGGCCGCTGCCTACCGCTCCAGCTAGTCCACGATGTTGTTCATCTCCAGCTGGCTGTGGCTGGCGGAGCACGCCAACACGGATGGTCCAAATAATGTCTTTGAGATCTACGAGCTGCTCTTCCAGGGCCTGCAACGGTGCATCGCGCCCACCCTCAGAACAACAGACATAGTCCGTCTGAATGCCCTGCTCGCCCAGCTCTTCGCCGATTTAACAAGATGTACACAGCTTCGGTGTGTCAATCGTTTCCTGGGCCTTCTATTCCTCTGCGCTCTCGGACGCCGAGACATCTTCAGAACTCGGCGGCTCCAGCGCGCGACCGACCTTCTGCAACAGCTGGTTATCGGGGTGTGCACAAGCCCGTCTCCCCGAACGGAATTGGCACCACTGCTTGGCTAGTTCAGGTTGCCCTGCAGCAGCCAGCCTGCGTCGAAGGTTTCCCCCCCCCCGTAGCTTTCTTGGACCCGTCGCCGTGCGCATCCAACAAGCTCTCGTAGCTGAAGGGAGCATTGCATGCATCGCACTCCCTCGGCCCAGCGGTTTCAGCGTGCAGTCCTATGATTGCACCTGCTGCGGCAGAAACCGCCTCTCTGAACAACCACTCTCTGAGCTGCCTCCTGCCAGCAAGACCGTTGACGGCTGCAAGC